TTAAGAAATAATAGTTTTAACTTGTTTCAAAGACTTAACTTTAAAAATCATTTCCTAAAAAGGAAAAAAAAAAATCTATGAATAAGGTATTGAATTATAATTTCATCATTATAACTATGGTATTCTCGGATAAAAAGAATGTCTGCATAAAATGCTTAAAATATAATTGTTATGTTTTCCAGTTATCAGAAATAAAACGTATAGAGTAAAAAATGAAAATAAATAAACAATGGAGCAGTTTAATAATTTTTGATTAAATTGTTGCATTGTCTTGTATTAATAACTAACTTTCTCGTGCAGCTGAATATTTCAATTACTAGTTAGAATAAACTCTCTCAGAATAAACATGCCGTTTATTCGACAGATTCGGATTACTGATGGGCTAGCTGCGATCTGGAAAATATATTCTCCCAATAGTTTAGCCAAGAGAGTGGTTGAAATTTATTTGCCTTTAATATTAATTTTGATTTTTGAGTATATTTTCATAACAGTGAAATTATTCTTTTTTTCCCTTTGATTGAATTGGATGATTCCAAAGATATAGTTTATAAGAGGCATATTCGAAAAAAGGGAAATTTTTGTTAAGAGACAAACTTAAAACTACTTTCTTGCCTAAATAATTGGCTGTGTTTTCCAAATTGAAGTTGGTTTGAAAGTAAGCAAAAGTTTAACGTGAATCTAAACTCAAAGATTACTTCGAGGTAATGAACCTAACTCTCACACTTAAAAAAAAAAACACACCAAAAAGCTCGACAATTTTTACCAAAGTGCTTTTGTAATAATTTTAGGTGCATTAATAATAAAATAAAATTTCATAATATGAAAGAAAACATGGTAAATGTGGTAAAATTTGGTAATTTTATTATATCTCAGAACATAGAATAAAAACCATTTATTCAAACAAATTTACTTTTCAGTTTTGTAGTTATTGCTAAATGTGTGGTAATACGAAATATAATTTAGAACACCAGAATTTCGTGTAAACCATTGTTATATGAACAAAAAAATTACCAAGAGAACGGTTTAAATTCTGGTATTTTTTGGTTTTATTAACCAGAATTTTTTTTTTATGCCTGAAACTCGTTGTCTCAATACAGTACGGTAATTTAACCAGAGTTTTCTTTTCATGCAACATAGGGATAAGTGCGTTTCATATATAATAGGCATTCTGACTGAATCATAAATAAATTAAAGTTATCTGACTGGTGCAAAAACATAATTTGGGGCAAAAATTTCGAATGTTTATTACAAATATGGAATCCCTGTAATCTTAGCTTTCTAAAAATACTTTTTTTTATTTATACTCTAATTGCTTGCAAAGTTATGTAATTTTTGCGTAAGGTGGTGACGGTGAATAGACTAATGATTATAAGACTTTAAATGCTTTTTTCTTAAAATCAGATTTTAAACCACCTTAAACACAATACCCCATCCTGTCTACGATTGTCGACAATTTTTTTATGAGCGTTTTTGATTATAGAACACATAGAACGCATTTGATTATGTTTTTGTTTTGAACGTGAGGCAGAGCGAAAAATGCAGAATTTCATTTTTATGTACGTTTTTTCGCAAAGACAAGTGCAGACATTTTTCATTATTTTTTTTAACTACGTTGATCTTTAACTCAGAAGTAAATGCACTTTCTTTTAAGATAATAGTTCAAAACACAGTTGATAGCCTTCTAAATAATATCCTCAAAGTATTTTTATTATTATTTTCTTTAAACTACGTTGATCTTTAACTCAGAAGTATATGCACTTTCTTTTAAGATAATAGTTCAAAATAATACAGTTAATAGCCTTCTAAATAAAATCCTCAAAGTATTTTTATTATTTTATTTAAATTACATTGATCTTTAACTCAGAAGTATATGCACTTTCTTTTAAGATAATAGTTCAAAACACAGTTGATATCCTTCTAAATAAAATCCTCAAAGTATTTTTTGCTTCAGGCGATAATTTTTTTACAGTGCTTACCATAATGCATGAAAATGTCGTATTTTTTTAAAACCTAAAATGGTCATTTAAAATAATAATAATAATTTTTATGCTGGTTTTATAAGTTTTGCCCCATCATAAAATAAATAAAATAGTTTTTTAAAATTTTATATTTATATTTTAAAAAAATCGTCGAAACCAGTCGGATATCTTAATAAATTACTTGTTCTACAATATTATTATGCAAATTCATTTTATGATAGAATAAGCATTTAATCTAAACTAGTAGACGGCTATATAGTATTACAAAGTTAAAAGTAATCACAAACCACTATTGCAACGTCCTTCATTTCCTAACAAACCAGATCTTCATTTAAGAGATCAAACATTCAGCCAGGTGGCTTTTATCTTGTGAAAACGGTATCTGATAAAATGATGCTTTTTAGAATTACTTAAACGTGATAATCATAAACAGTTTTTCTATCACTATCCATTGTGCTTTATACAGTCTTATATAATGTGTTTATTCCTTATTTGTGTTTTAATTTTATAGTGCAAACAATTTTATCAATTTTGAAATAAATATTTATATAATGGTAAAAAGATGATTACCATTGATATTAATAAGAAATTTATTGAAGTACTAAAAAAAAAACTGAAATAATTTGAAATTTTTTTTCTTAAGTTTTAACAGTAATAAAAACTAAATTATGCTAAAATATAGATCTAAAAACATCAATTGAAGAATCAAAATATTTTTATGAGTAACTTTGTTTGACTTATAACGTTTAATTTTACTAACACATAAAGTAAAAAATATTGTTGGTATCAGATTATATAAACTTATTATATTAAAGTGTTCGAGAGGTCTCGGAGTCATTAAAGTTTAATTTTATTTAAGAATTAGAAATTTTTTTGTCCGATTTTTCCTCCGGTACGTATCCCTTTCCAGGAAAAAAAAACCTTTTTTCCACAGCATTTATATTAAAACTATACAGTATTGATAACATAATAATACGCGCTGTTCCCATATTAGTATCTTTGGAGCTTATTAAAACTGCATCAATTTCCCTAATACTAACAATCATCATTAGCGTCAATAATAGTATGACAAATTTTTGTGTTTCATCTAAGTAATTTAGTACATTTTATCCATTAATTTTGTTTTTCAGTGTATAACTTATTTACTTTTGTTTTAAAAAACCCCAAATTTTGAAATTTTTTTTAACGAAATACTATAATGAATACGTAATAATATAATGAAACCTTGGATGCTGGCCCACTGTGCGTGAGTACGGATTTCAGGGTTCGAAGCACCTGATCATACCTTAATTTATTTATTTAATTTCTTTTTCTTAAATTTAGTTCGTCATACGCTTTGTGATTTTCCTTTGGAGTAATATAGTCATAGCACCATCTAGTGTTATAAAATTATGATTTTTTTGAAAATAAATCAGACAGATTTCTATATTCTACTAGCACCTTGTTTCTTCAGAAAATACCAGTTCCACGAACTTGAGATGTCCTGGTATACTAGTATAATATTTGCTTGGTCATCATGCATACTTTCTAGCGCTACTTAAATTTGTTACACTAAGTATGTAATATTATAGTAATAATAGTTAAAAGGTCGTTTTCTGCCCAAATCTTATTGAGCAATGGCGAGTTAACTCGTTATTTTTTGCCCAAATCTTATTGACCAATGACGAGTTGACTCGTCATTTTTTGCCCAAATCTTATTGACCAATGACGTGTTAATTGCGCTATTGCGCTTACAATTTTAAGTTAACTAGTCATCGGCTAAAAACATTTGGGCATGAAATCAATATTTAGAATGTTTTCTTTACTTCCAAATTCAGTTAAAACATTATAGCTGGTGACATGACATAGTTTCTGAGTAAAACTGCCCTTCAAATAAACGCTAATATCATCACAAAGTACTCTTGTGGAAAAGATATAACATAAGAACGTTTTGGCGGAACTTCAATGTTTAAAAGATAATAACCCTTATCACTAATAAGATAATCTTTGCCATCTGCGTTTTTTTCTAACAACAACATATTTTTTTTCTTCATAATATTTTTCTGAAACATTCCAGCAAATGATATCGGAATGGAGGTGTTCAAAGGAATTATTCTTTGCTGTAAGTAATTTTACGTTATCAGATGAATAATTTATTTTGATATTACATTTTAATGCATCGTGTTACAGTATATGAAATAAATATGAATTGAGTGCAGGCAGTTTAAAAAGAAATGTAAAGTACATGGATATATTAAGAATGCAAAACTAAAAAAAATAGTGCGTAGAGTCCCTCCGCGTGGACGAAGTTAAACTTCGCAACCTGCAACGTTAATTGTAGAAGAATCAGCAGTCGTAGAAGGATCACTAGTTCTATTCAACGACTCTTTTTCCTACTCCGCTCTCTTCCGTGCTCTATAATCACGGTAATATTGTACATTTTTCCCTCGTGAACCTCTTGAACCAGTGGAAGTGCTTGTGGTTGCCTCATCGTCTCGCCCTGGAAAATGTATTTGTATTAATAATGTATGTGAATGCGTCATAATGTAATTTCAGACGAGAAAGCCTATCAATCAATTGATATTCACAAGAGACGTAAATTGACGTAACCTTAACGTAAATTGACGTAACCTTAAACACGTCGCATTGTCCGTGGGATTGTTTTCACTCATTTTTTACAATTGTTATCCACTAAATTTGAAAATAAAAAATACTTCCCTATATGTGTATCAAAACAAACTAAAAAAATATTTATAGAAAAANCTATCACTTTAAAATCCCCATGGTAATTGCGCTATTGCACTTACAATTTTAAGTTAACTAGTCATCGGCTAAAAACATTTGGGCATGAAATCAATATTTAGAATGTTTTCTTTACTTCCAAATTCAGTTAAAACATTATAGCTGGTGACATGACATAGTTTCTGAGTAAAACTGCCCTTCAAATAAACGCTAATATCATCACAAAGTACTCTTGTGGAAAAGATATAACATAAGAACGTTTTGGCGGAACTTCAATGTTTAAAAGATAATAACCCTTATCACTAATAAGATAATCTTTGCCATCTGCGTTTTTTTCTAACAACAACATATTTTTTTTCTTCATAATATTTTTCTGAAACATTCCAGCAAATGATATCGGAATGGAGGTGTTCAAAGGAATTATTCTTTGCTGTAAGTAATTTTACGTTATCAGATGAATAATTTATTTTGATATTACATTTTAATGCATCGTGTTACAGTATATGAAATAAATATGAATTGAGTGCAGGCAGTTTAAAAAGAAATGTAAAGTACATGGATATATTAAGAATGCAAAACTAAAAAAAATAGTGCGTAGAGTCCCTCCGCGTGGACGAAGTTAAACTTCGCAACCTGCAACGTTAATTGTAGAAGAATCAGCAGTCGTAGAAGGATCACTAGTTCTATTCAACGACTCTTTTTCCTACTCCGCTCTCTTCCGTGCTCTATAATCACGGTAATATTGTACATTTTTCCCTCGTGAACCTCTTGAACCAGTGGAAGTGCTTGTGGTTGCCTCATCGTCTCGCCCTGGAAAATGTATTTGTATTAATAATGTATGTGAATGCGTCATAATGTAATTTCAGACGAGAAAGCCTATCAATCAATTGATATTCACAAGAGACGTAAATTGACGTAACCTTAACGTAAATTGACGTAACCTTAAACACGTCGCATTGTCCGTGGGATTGTTTTCACTCATTTTTTACAATTGTTATCCACTAAATTTGAAAATAAAAAATACTTCCCTATATGTGTATCAAAACAAACTAAAAAAATATTTATAGAAAAACAATAATTTTATGACTTTTATTATTTTTATGCTAGTGAGAATCAAAACAATATGGAAATGAATGATGGAAAACTAGATCCTACCACGTGATTTCCCGGCCAATAAAAATGTAGCGTTAAACGTTTAACGCAACCTTGTTGGAAGTCGCATAAGAAGTATAACTTCAAAAATACCTTAATTTTTCATTATTTACAATACTACAATTTTGGTAAGCTTAGTTTAAATTATTAACTAAAAATTAAACTTAGCTATCTTCATTGCATAGATAGCTAAGCTTAGTGTTTCTTTCATTTGCAGTTCTTTTTCTATATTTCAATTTTAGTATTCTTAAACCTTTGCTATTTTATCCACTTCAGATTTTTTTTCTATGTCTCTATTTCGGATATATCTTAGACTAAGTTTTTATGCTTTTGTTCACTTCTTTATCTATATCTTTATTTTAACATTCTCAGACTTAGGTCACTGTAATTTTAACCATTACATTTCCTTATTATACTTTTATTTCAGAATCTTAGGTTTAGATTTTTGTGATGTTGCCCAGTTCTTTTTCTATATTTTTATTTCAGCATCGTTAGACTTAGGATGATTTTGACTGTTACAGTTCTTTTTCTGCATTTTTATTTCTGTATCTCTTAGACTTAGTTTCTTATGATTTTGCAAGTTACAGTTAATTTTCTTCATTTTTATTTTAGTGTCAATAAGCTTAGTTTCTTGTGATTATGCATGCTACAGCAAATCAGTTGGAGATTGCTTTAACAATGTAGCTGAACAACGAAGAGGTAAAGACCCAGGAAGTGAGGATGAAAAATTTTGCCAGTACGTTTTACATTTAAATAAAGTTGGTTTGTGAAAGACTCCAAAATGAATAATTTTTAAGAAGTATAGATATTTTTCTGGAATTTAAACAATTATTATTTTTTTGTAAGCAGAGCAACATAATTTAAAATTGTAAAACTTATTTTATTGGTCACAATTGCTCCTTCTTGATTCCCCTTCAATAAAATATTTAAAACTTCGTAATTTTATGATGCAAATGGCATATTGAGAAAAAGTATGATCACAACTAACAGAATATTATCAACTTTACCTCATTTTCCGAAGCTTAGGGAACGACATAATTTTTGTCACAGAGTACTGATGACTGTACGGTAAAACTACCAAAAATATCGCTTTACTATTAGGCGGTTGGTAGTAAATTTAATAAATTTACTGTATTCAAAAGTTGCCAAACGTGTTAGCAACTTTAACACTTCTGATTTGATAAATGTATCAGGAAGGCCGGGATAGCCTGGTTATTAGGGCACTGTGCCCTTATCCAAGAGTTCGTGGGTTCGATCTCCACCGGTCGGTTCCACAGATTTTACCAGCAACGTACTCGGTGGGTCCTAGCGGAGTCGAGAATCGAACTCCGGCCTTCCGGACAGGACCGTTATTCCGATATTCTAGCCACTAGACCACCACGGCATTATATATGTTCATGAGAATAGATCACAACTTAGATATATCGGACTACAACGGCTAAGTATGATGTACTTTATTTATTTTTTTAAGAAAAAACCCTGCATGTTTCTGAAAAAAAATCTGCAAACCTTATGAACATGTAAAAGGTTGCAACTCCCAGACAATATGATTTTCTGTGCTCATGTGAATTAAAAAAGAAAAAAAGAAAAAGAAATTTGAAATGAAAAGCATTAAATACATTTCGGGCTTATTTTTTACAAATTTTGTATTTTGTGATGCCAGCATATCTTTAATCTGCATTATTATTTTTCAAATAATTCATATAGTTAAACTGTAGTTAATAGATTCATTAAAAATGAGATCAATTTTTGGTAATTTAAAGTAATTTTCCAACATGGTTTTTCGAAGCTCTGTCGTCAAGAAAAATAAAAAAGTTCAAATATCTAACACTTAAAGCAAAAGGAAGATGTTAAACTGTAAAAGTCATCTTCCTGTAAGGAATTATCTGGTCTTTAGAGCGGACGAATATGAATATTTTAAGCGTCATTAAACTTTTTTTGAAAATTGCCAATTTAGCGACATTTTTCCACCCAGAAGAAAATTACTGCCTTATTCTCAGTTTCAGCAAACTTTTACGAGCCCAGATAATGCATCTTTGGAGTAAGTTTTTAAATATTAAAAAATTAAACCACAAAAGCTTTTCATTTCCGCAAAACTGTGCCTTTGCTCCATATTGGTCCCGCAGTGGACTGATCGTTAAGACTCAGTTCCCAGCAGATCACCGAAGTCAAGCATCACTGGCTGCTGTCAGTGTGCGGGTGGGTGACCACTTGGATCAGTCTTCTGATGCATNCCGTTAATTACTCGACCTTTTGCGCAGGTCGTCGGGCTACCGAAGCGGGGGTGCCATCCCCTCCGCAAAGGATAAAAATTGTGATGGCATGTCTTCGGATCATCCTCCGGGATGTTCCCTAGACCGTCGCCAATAGCCCATTGTGCAGCTCTAGTGCGAAGTAAATTAACAACAGCAACAACAATTGCTCCATATTCACGTTTTGCGCCATTTTCAGAATTAGTGTGGAAATTAGTAGTTTCCAGTTATAAACTTTAGTGTTTGAGTTTTTTTTTTAAGATTCGTTTCCAGGATGGAAGTAAAGGGAATTCAAGAAACAAGCATTCAATCAATGTGACGTACGAAATCGTTATCTATAAAAGAACGAACAATTTCTTCTTTCATGGCGGTGGAGAGGGATGGGCAGCCCACTCATCTTTTGAGTCTTTGGCCGATGGCCGATTGTAGATGATGATCCTATATATATATTTGTATATTCAATTAGAATTCTAGATTTAAGTTAACCATTGAAAGTAATAATAAATGCGTTCCAGACTATTTGTGTACTTGGTTTTTAGCATACTCTGCTTTGTGAGTTAAATCCACAATTAGATAGGTGAAACTTGTTTTAACAGACATGAGTAACTGTTGCAAACTCACAGCAGCTATGAAAATAGCATATTATTCGCAAAAGAGCATCATTTTATGTGACGACGAAACCTCCGAAAAACAGCATTAATTTATGTAGTATTTTTTATTCTTCTGACTTTATGATTAGTGTCGTTTTTTGAAAAAAAGGCCTGAAGTAATGTTATATTTATTTCAGACTTTACTGAAAAATAGGACTGAAGTAATATTATATTTACTTCAGACTTTACTAAGAAATAGGACTGAAGTAATATTATATTTATTTCAGACTTTACTCTGATATTGCACTGTGCCAACGCAATGCCGCTGTTCAATGTAGTACAGGGTTTGCTGATGTAGCCGAGAAAGCTTATTCAGCTATTATCGACATCTGCACAGAAGGAACAGAAACTTATAAAGGTGATATAAAACGCCATAATAATATAATAATCATAAGTTTCATAATAAATGGTTGTATCATGGGTGTATTTTTTCTAAATGGTACTTATGTATCATCGCAACCTTATTGGCAACATAACACAACAGCCGCCACAAAAAAAAAATGCCATCAGTGCTATCCCGGTTAGCTAACTCTAATAAATAATAATACAATTGTAAATAATAATAACAGTAATAATAAGTGAATGCATGAAAAAAAAGAAAAATAATATTAAAGGAAATTTATAAATTACTGATGTTAATAACGGGATAAGGCTTTCCTCGAATCAATTTCAAGTTCTGATTCCGACATGTTAATTATAGCATTGCTTTCCAAGAAAAACCTGTTTTCCAAAATAAAGCTTCAATAAGTGACAATTGCTACATTCCCGACTATCAGGTAAAATGTTGTATCTTTGTAGGCATCTTTTTCACTAGTCAGTAAATTCCATATTTGGATTTCCGTATAGTTTGTCGAAAGTAAAAACTCTCCTAGCCATTCGTCTGGCTCCGTGGAGGTGACTATGGTATCGAAGTATAACTATTTGAAGTAGGTGTGTGGGGTCATTGTTTAGGACAGGTGTTTCCACATCAGCAGGCTGCCTCAGATTTTGCGACGAGGGGAGTTCTTACAGTAGACAAACTGTACTCTCACTTACCTTCGCATCGAACGCTTATAAAGAGCAAAAAAAAAAGAAAGATAGGGAAATGTTTCGAAAGTAGAAACTTATGGTTGCTATTTTGCCATCTTTCGGGTTCCAGTTTACCGCGTTGTCTCCGAAATTGGCATGGTTGCAATAGCACGTTAGTAGCTTAAAGATTATAACATATCACAATTGTTTACAGTTATTAGTAACAGATAGTTATTGTTGATCTAAAAAAACTGACGAAATCTTGCATTTGAAAAAAAAGTAGGTCCATATAAAAAAACAAGACAATTTCTTCATATCTAAGTGAATATTTTTGTTTCGTATAAGTGAATTTTTTTGTTACACAGTAGTAAAGTATTAAAGTAGTATTATAAACAAAACTTTAATAAATATTGATAATTACAAAAAATGTTTTAATATTTTCCAATAAAGTGATTATCAATGTGAATTTTTATCATAACTTATAATACACTGTCTTTTGCCATTTAAGAATTTGATGTTTTGCCATTTGGCCATTTAAGAGTTTGCTATTTGGTACAGAAAAGGGATCATAAACAAAATTCATAAATGTTAAAACTTTTGTTATGCCAATATATTTACAAAATAAGTTACTATTACTTACTCATTGGACCTAATGTTCATGTTGGACTATGGCCTCCCAAATCATTCAACTACAAAGCGATTCGTTTCCCTCTTTAGTTAACCTATTCATTGGCAAACTCTCAAGGTTTTTCCCAACCTTGTTAATACATCTGATTTTCTATCTTCTCCATTTTTGTTGACATTAAGTTTGACTATGAAAGATAGTTTGTGTGTTGGACACAAAATGAGTTAAATTTTGAGAAATTTCTAATTATCTAAAAGGGTACATATTTACAATGCTCGTTAATTATTAAAATAAATAAGCAAGTATTTTTTTTACCTTTAAAAATTTATAATGTCAGAAAATTACCGATAAGTCTGGGTTTAGACAAGCAGAATCATCAATAATTTTTTTACAAATTTGATTAGGTTTAAATAGAAATAGAGACAACTATAAAATATATATTAATTTATTAAACCACACTAATTACTTCCAAAAGTAACTTGAAGTCTCTTCAAAACCAACGTCAGTCTATCTCTGCTCCCAAATTATTTATAGTGAAATAAAAATAAAGTTTACATGTTACGTTCATGACATTGCGCTGCATGCTTCCTTATTTTTCTTGCTATTGTCAGACTTGTTTAAAAGACCTGATAGTATCAAAAATATAATCGGATCGAAAAAAAAACGCTTAGTCTTGTATTCGTTAAGATCCCAATCTTTTACTTAGGACGTATTGACGTATTCTTAGGTTAAATCCTTATTCCATATTAAATTCTCTTTGTCATCTATTGAACTTCAATGAATTGTTGTAGTACTCTTATAATAAATTATTATAATTTTACTATTCTTATAATTTTATATTTAGTACCATTATTATAATTTTTTAGCCATAAAAAGTGATCCAAAGTGTAATTTGGCTTCTGTGTATAATTCTCAAGGCTGTAACAAAGATTTGGATGAAGCACAGAAAGATATTGATTCTAATGATGTCGTTGCAAACATGAAGCTTATTTGCATGTAACTATACCTTTATTTTTCAGTATTTTGAAATACATTCAGTTAAACTAAATTACTGCAAAAGTACAGGCAGCATGACTGCAGCATCCGTAAAATCTAATTTACAGTGAAATTCATTTTTACGGTAAAATTTCATACCGAAATTTTTACATTCATATTAATTTAACTACAGTGATTTTATAGTAAATATTGCTGTAAAAATAACAGTATATCAGATTTTTAGTTCCATAAACCTTTAAGGTAAAATTGGATTCTGGGGAGGGGCAAAAGTACTGGTATCTTGAGTGCGGGTACTTTTTACGTAACTTGATCCAAAATTTTTTACATTGTAGAAAGAGGTATGTCATTCATAGATTTACAACCAATTTCGCTCTCTTACTTTACGATCTACATGAAATTTCTGTTCAAGAATGTTAAAGTGTTTTTCAGCCAAACTTTTGAAATTCGTCGGTTTTTCCTGCCCAGACCATGAATTCACGCAATTATGTAAGGCGGAAATGGCTCGATGTGCCAGTCCCGGAAGCGTATCGTGTTACAGTGGTGGACACTTAATTATTTTTGCGACTGGCCCGTGCACGCGACGTTAGGGACATTACTATCTGGCATACGCAGGGAGGGGGGTGCCGCCGTAGAGGGGTATATATAT